GGGGGGTCGCAGGTGGTGAATAGCAGGGGGAATCGGAGATGGAAGGGAGGAGGAGAACATACCTGTGGCGGATGGAGTTGCACCGGCGAGAAGATGTGTGGCGGCGAGCAAGAAAGGGAATCCCTCCCGAGGTCTCTATTTTTCTCTCTCCTTTCTTTCTTGGCCGCCAGCATCTATCCCTTGCCGCCGCCGCCTCCGCCGTCGATCCCTTGCCGCCGTCGCCTCTGCCGTCGATCCCTTGCCGCCGCCGCCTCTGCCGCCACCATCGTTGCCAACCACCAAAAAGATGGTGTCTAGCTCGGATGAGGGAATCCCTCCCGCATCAACGCCAAATGGACAGCGGCTCCCCCAATGCATCCTCGCCTACCACAGAAGCCAGACTTTGATGCTTCCGACTCCCAAAAATCTTGCTTGAATAGAGAAGAACTCATAGAAGAGATAAGAAAACAAGAAGGAATTGCCGGTAGTCGCCGAGACGAAAATTAGTTCAAGAGACTTGGAGTTGCAAAATCTTTCAATTTTTTGTAAAATTTTTGGACTTAGATTTCAATTTATATCCAAAGCCCAAAATTCATATTTTACAAAAATCTATCAAAATCTATTGATTTTTGAATATCATTAGATTTAGAAGGATATATTAAAATCTGAATTGAATACATTAGATTTTAAGTGACTTTTTAAAATCTGAATTGAATACTCACAGACTTTTGAAATCTAAAAAAATACTACAAAATCCAGATTGAATACACCCCTCTAAGGTTGGGGAAGGGAAGCTGCAAGAAAATCGAAAGTTAGGGAATGGGAAATACTAGTCGAGTCCGGAAGGAGGAAAGCCTAAAACCCCTAATCCAAAACCCAAAAATGGAAGGGAATGATTTTTTTTAAACAAACCACAACAAAGAAAATGAGGGAATCACATTCCCTTTTTCGATTCCCTTACCCCGAACAAAGTGCCCCCTAAAGATAATGGCGTAAGAGTAATTTACCAATTAGAAGGTGGGTACAAGCTATGTGTCTCACTTTTTTGGATGGAAAAAATACATTTAACATCCATGCTGCACTTAGACCAAAAAATGTACCACATTTGTATACCACAGTTATGCACAAACATTTTAATGGTTTATACCGACACAAGTGTTGGTGCATTAACAAAAATTAGTTTTACACCAACACAAAATATTGGTACAAACTTGAAGGGTATAAAGTGGAGTATAAAAAACGTAGGGTAAAATAGTCCTACATTTAATTTAAGGGTACCTAACCATTGTAGGCATTTATAAGATATGTAAGATATGCTCCCTCCGTCCCAGTATATTTGTCCAGTTTGACTTTTTTGAGTCAATCAGGACAAACTTTGAGCTTCAATTAAATAAAAATCGTAATGTATTTTAACATAAAAATGACTTTATTGGATTTATCGTATTGAGAACTTTCAAAATTTTATTTTATTATGTTAATATGCAATATAAATTGAGAGTAATTGGAGTTCAAAGTTTGTCCAATTTTATTATGTTTTATATAAAATTGATGTAAAAATATAAAATATTCCTGCATATTTAAATCTCTAAATCTTTATCTTTATATATAAAAAAGGAGAGTTAACCTCCTAGAAATTTGACATGTGGAATGTCTACTAGGCTATTTTTTATATGTCATCTTCTATCACATTTATGACTCTTTAAAAAATTGACATGTGGCAATACTTATGTGGCAATATTTATGTGGCACTATGTTTTGAAAAATTATCATTTATTTATGTAAGACAATCAAAAAAACCAAAAGAATAATTTGTTAGAAATTTGTGTAAGGCAATCAATTACAAGTTAAGTAAATATATAATATACTTAAATAAATATTTAACATTCTCTCAAAAATAATTCAACGTGGGATTAACAATTTAATATACTACAAATAATTCTTGACATGAGATTAAATTAAAATTTTAGTTTTTATTTAAAAAAATTATTAAAATTTTAATAAATCTTTTTTATCTAAAAATGAGACTCATATAGAAAGTTGATATGTGTATTTATTATGTGAATTATTTCACTTAATTTCAGACAAGAAAATATGATATACATATTTTAGGATGACATTTTTTTAATACATTTAAATATGAAATTTAGATTTTTGTTTTATAATAATATTCTTTTCTAATTTGATATTTTTTTTCTATTTATGTGTAACAAAACTTTCAATTAATAAACATGCAACACTTTTCACCTTTAAAAAAAATTATACGAGTATTTGTTTAGGATATGCTTTAAAAAATTAATTTTGAATCTAATTATTTGAATAATGATATAAAATTAAAAACATTGAATATATTTTCAAAAATATATTTAAAAAAATTTAAAAAAAAAATAGATGATTGGGTTATACTAATCTTCAACTAGAAAAAATACTACACATAATTTGGTAGTTTAAATATATTAGTTTTATGATTTGATTTAATGACTAGAAAACTTATTACGTTTTAGACCATTTATGATCTAAATTTAAAAATATATTATTTTTAATTTTTCATTAGTGAATGATACTTAAACTAAATATAGAAAATAGTTAATCAAATTATGTTTCACAATACCACACTATGTTTACACAAACATTCTTTATGATTTTAACATCATCGAATAAATTTAACATAGGTCTTCTTTTTCATTAGAATATTATTTTTAATTTTACATTCTTTTCCATTTCATTTATAATAAAACTTTCAATGAATAAATACGATTTCTTTAGTTGAAAAAGATACTCTTTTTGTCTCCAAATAAATTTTATATTTGTTTATGATATGCTCATTAAATGAAGTTAGTTTTTATTTTATTGATTTAAACATTGACGTAAAAATATAAAATACTCCTGTATATATAAATCTCTAAATCTATATCTATATTCTATATAAAAAAGGAGCTTTAACCTCCTAGAAATTTGACTTGTGGAATGTCTGCTAGACTATTTTTTATATGTCATCTTCCATCACATTTATGACTCTTTAAGAAATTGACATGTGGCAATACTTATGTGGCAATATTTATGTGACACTATGTTTTGACAAATTATCATTTATTTATGTAAGACCATCAAAAAAACCAAAAAAATAATTTGTTAGAAATTTGTGTAAGGCAATCAATTCTATTTTTTTAATGATTAACTATTTAAATCAAATACATTAAAAAATAATATTTTCACGGGCTTGAATGATGGATTACTTATTCAAAAGTAAAAGATAAAATAAATAAAATTTACCAAATGTATTTACAATTTTTCATTTAGAATCATAGGATTACTAATATTCTATATATATCTAAAAAGTTATTCTTTTTCAAGAACAGGGCACTACTGGCACCCATGCTTGATGTTGTAGAAATGGTAAATGATTTTTTCATATCCCTCATTCTTGGAGATTAAGAATTTTGAGTATTCATTCCAGGCAGATTTAGATGTAAGTGTTGATGGCGACTGGATAATAGTTGATTTTTTTGAATGAATTAAAATGTTTGAAGATGTCAAAACACAAAATAGTTTTTAAAAAGAGGTATCAAAATAGTTTGAATAGCTGCAAAAGAGTGTTATCAATGCTTTAATGGTCTTAGGAAATAGAGTAGGAGAAAAAGTTTACATATCTCAGATGAATTTGGTACCATCTGATCCAAGACTACAACTAAAGTTCTAGAGAGAACAATTTTCAATAGGTTTATGTTTTGCAATGACTATCAACAAAGGTAAAGGCCAACATTGTAATTTGTTGGATTATTTTAAAGCAATTTATTTTTCATTAATGGTCAACTTTATTTTGTTGTTAAAAGACTGAAGACAAAGACAAGATTACAAATTTTGATTCTAGATGACAATAGAAATTTTAGCAACCATACCAAAAATGTTGTATATCTTAAAATCTATCACAAAATTTGGTATTAAAAAACACTTTGTTGAGTACACATTCAATTCTTCAAATATTATTTATTTGACTCTAGAATTTTCGTCTATAGTATTAAAAATCGTGCAAGAAATATATTTTTTTATTTCAAAAAAAAATATTACATTGAAAAAGTTCTAGAATCAACAAAAATTTTATTCGATCCCGTGCGTCACACAGGTTAAAATGCTAGTGTGTGTGCGTGGTGTGTGTGTGTGTCTATATATATATATATATATATATATATATATATATATATATATATATATATATATATATATATATTTTGGTTCAAATAAGAATAAGATCTAATGAAAGAAATAAGAATAAATATCTACCGTTTGATCAACTAGTCTTGATTTATCTCCCATCGGCATAATTAAGGGCATTATTGTATATTCAATTGAATTCGTTTCTCTCTCTCTCGTCTCTCTCCATAGTGCCCGCAAGATGAGCGTGAGATCTTCCTTCCCTATCTCACAACAGATCTGGAGTTTTCTCATATGAGTTAATCTCTCTTCACCGCAGTCAAGATTTATATTTCAAGTTAGGGATACCTTAGTTTTTCATCTTGAATTTTCTAAGCATCTCTGCCCAAAGTCGTTTTTCGCCTTAAATTTACAGGCCGAATTCTTCTTGTTTTTTTTGTTCTTGGTGTTCATGTCTGATGAGAAGGTTCACCAATTTTAATAGTCATAATTAGCATCAGGTGCATGTTTTCTTTGTTTCCATCTCCACATCTAAGTTTTAATCCCTTTGTGTTCACTCTTTTGGCCGATTCTCAGAATTCGATTTTTTAATTCATTGTATTTATAAATTGAATGGTGAAAATTTTGGTTTCATGTTTGCATTCACACTTTCCGTATATCTGTTCTCTAATTTTCAACCCTTGTTCAAGTAGTTTCTTTATTTGCAGGTGTAATTTTTTAGTTATGGTGCATTTTTCATATTTCACTCTGTTTGCAATGGTATGTGTACTATTATGCATTGTAATGCATTCTGTGATGTTCGCACTGCATACATCCACCGAATAGGATGATGGACACAAGTTTGTGTTCACTTTTAGGCACAAATTTTGTTCATTATGTGTTATAGGCCAACTCTTCCACATTCCAGTTTTCTTTATTTCATTCACTTTTGGATTCTGAGAGTTTGATGTCTCGATTCACTAAGTTTGTAATTAGAAGGGCTACAAGATACAAATTTGATTTTGTACGTGTTTTAATACATTTATTAATATCTACTTTGTGATTTTCAACCATTGATTATACGATTTCATTATTAGTTGGTGAGGATTTTTCATTTTGTACAATGCCATTTTTTTATATTTAACTCTAGGTGTAACAATATGTATAATTAAAAGCATTGTAATACATATTATGTTCTTGGTACTGCATGCTTCCACCATCCAGTGTGTTGTACCCAAGTTGTGTTCAGTGTAGGCATAATCTTGTGTTCCATATTATGTGTGGGTTAGCTCTACTCTCCCCTCACTTAAATTTTTGTTCTTGCACTTTCACTCCCTTATAAGATGTCATTTTTAATTATGATTTAACTCTAGCAATAAAATTATATATGTTTAAATGCACTGCAATGCTCTCTATGTTTTTTATACTGCCCGCAGCTGCATACAAGGATGTCTCTCAATTTTCATTATCATAGGTGGGCATGGTACACTATTCCACAATGTTGTCGATGGAATTTAACTTTACAACACTATGTGTGAGTAGATGAATTTGAGGGTTGGCATTTTTACGAGTACCACAAGTGCGTGCTTTGTAGAAATGATGACCAAAAACATATTGGAAAATTCCCCCCAAAAGCCGCTATAAAGCAGAGGAAGAAGAACATTTAGGAATTTTGAGTTCCATAATAATAGGAACTCTTCTATGACCATTTTCAAATGTATGAGTAGTTTTTACCATTTCTGATTGTATTGATGCTTTTTGTTATTATTGTAAAAGATATTGTCATAAATTTTATTAATTCTAGTCTTACTTCAAATAAATGTTGTTATTTACTTGAATCATTTTATGCCCCGGTCCCTCGTGTCAACAATAATCTCATTATGTGTCAAGGATCAAGATGGATTGTAACGCCCCAAAATATACCCTAAAATTTATTGAATTAAATATTCAAATTAATCAAATTTGTTTTGATTAAAATAAATTGTTGTTGGACTTTGGGCCGAAATAAAATATATATTGATATCCAATATCACAATCAGGATCTCATAGAGATAATTCCAATTAGTTGACTATTTGTGTGATCTTGATTGGAAACCTGTGTAGAGACCCAAATTAAGAATAAATGAAGAAATTGTTTGTAATGTAATCTTTGAAATGATTTATTGAAATAAATCATGGAAATAAATAATATGAATTAAATGTGAGAACCTTTTTGAGTAAAGGTCAAACAAATCAATTTTGACTCTGGCAAGTCAACCACCCAAAAATATGATGTCGGAAAAAGTATAACGAATAAATATAAAAATTATATCATTGAATAGAGTTTAAATGTCCGATCGCAACGGTGCAAACGGAATTCAATTCGGAGAAAGTTGGACCAAGAAGTATACCCCAACTGGAACCAAAATTGGTCCCAATCAGAGTACTGCTCTGTCGGCGCCTCCTAGCGCACTAGTAGATCCTAAATCGAAGGAATCATCATCCTGCGTCTTCTTCTTCCTCACCACTTTATATAAGAAAACCCAACTCATTCAATTCTTCACTCTCAAAACTTCTTTCTATTCTGTTGCTCTAAGTGAGTAGAACGCAGTGGGGCCGTCAATTTGGTGTGAAGTCGCCGGAGCTAAGAGTCGTCGCCGGAAGTTTCGCCGGAAAATCTTCAAAACCTCCATTAAGCTTCGAGGTAAGCCCGTTGATATATCTAGTGATTAGAATGTTCATATAGATCGTTTCTACGTTCATAAACGGTCGTTTGGTTGAATTTTGTGTTTGACATGTTTGAAGAACCAAGAATCATAAACTTTGAAATTGTTGTTAAAACTACAAATTAATGGTACCAAAATGATCTATGAACCTTGGAGAACCTTTTTGTATACCTTAATTGAAGTTTGGGAACTTAAAATGACATTTCCGCAAGTTGGCTCGAGGTAGAAGACGATGGATAATCAATTATCAACTTGAAAATCGATTATGCATCGTTCTGCAGATTTTTGGAACAAAGCTGAGCAATAATCGACTGTCAGAATGTGACAATCGATTATCAGCCCTCTCAAAAGTTTGATAATCGATTATTAGAGTGTGATAATCGATTATCAACTCATTCAGAACATTAGATAATAGATTATCAGAAGTGACAGTAGACTGTCTCCCTATACTATTGAAGAAAACAAAGCTAGTAGTTAATAATTGAATTTCTTATCATATATTAATCAATTATTGTTTAGAAAACATGATTATTAAACTATGAAATCCTATTTTTGATACCAATTGATTATGATCTTTATTAAGGTGAATTTTCATAATAAAAATGATATTTTTGACAAATAAAATCTTGTGTGATGCATGACGGTAAGTTCGGGTGTTAACACTCAAAGCTATGCCGCTATTTGTTATCGAATGTTATGTTGATTTATGAGTATGATGAATGATTATTATGATGATTATGGCTTGATGAAACCACTGATTAAAATGATTATCAAGGATCAAATTATGTATTGAAATGAATATGTTGATGATTATGAAATGATTTGGATTGTAAGGATATCTAGAAGAACTCTAAGATATACCTAGGTTGACTTTGGTTTCTAAGACTATCTAGAAGACCTCTAAGATAGCTTAGAAATAGGCCTTGCGGGTATAATCATGAGTATTCGGTGGCCTGGGTTAAAACGTACGTACGGGATCTACAAACCAAATTTGAGGCACTCGTTTGGGGATACCACCCAACCCGATAGTGAGCATTTCGGATCCGCTGTTCGGTTTTTGGATGACCTTAATCGAAGGTAAGTTTAAGATTTTGAAAACCTCTTTTTGAAAATTTATATCTTAAACTAGGCCTAGCTTAAGGGTTAGATAAGAGTACCTTAAACTTGAATGTAGTTTAACTATGTTAGACTAGAATTCGTTTAAGAGTTGGTAAACATCAAATAGATTGGCCTTAGACTAAGAATAGTTTAAGGATATTGTTGATACTGTTTACTACTTATAACATACTACATACAACTTATTTTTACAACTTATACTTACTACTTATATGTATTACTTATAACTAATAACTTATAGATTTGACTTGTAAATGTGCATGATATCAAATGGTTGATTATGAATTGAGATTCAATTTATGTGGATGTTCGACGCATTAGATATGCTTACTCAGCTTTACCGCTGAGCGTGTAGTGTGTTTTATTTGCTACACGCAGGTCAATAGAATGATGTGACGTGATCCTGGAGGCAGACGGAGGCGAGATAGTTAGAATGGATGTGATGGTTTTGAATTAAAAGAATATAAATAAATTATGTTTGTGGTTATAATTTGTTAAGCTTCCGCAATATTGAAAACTCTGTACTGTTTATGATATGAAAAATATTATTATAATAAATAAAAGTGTTTGAAAAGTTTTAAATTTTACGATTACCAAGTTAATACTTTAGTCCGAAAGGGGCTGCAGACCTGGACGGATTAGAGTGTTACATGGATTCTTTATAACATATGCACTATGGGTACTCGAAAATGTACAATATTTTTAATCGAATGCATCAGTACACATATACAGTACACTCTTAACTTAGGGTATAAAACATGAGCTAAAAACAACAATGCACACTCTAGTCTGTGCTTAAATAAAATTTTACATTGCAATTAAACCAAATCTAACATTCTAAATCTAAAAAAAATATTAGACAGAATTAAAGGGTTCTCTCTTGGATTTCCTCTTTTCTTCTTACCTTTTGTACTCAGTGTAATCATCCATTTTCTTTTACACATTTGTTTTGAGTCCCTCCAAGATAGTGCTACTCGTCAGAGTTGTGCTTTCGTTCTCCATATTTGCTCTTGCACTGCACCCATGCGTTGCTCAACTTTGACCCTCTGCATTGCTAACAACAGTGCAAATGCACTGACACTCTGCATTTCTAACAACTATATATCTCGTTAATTTGTCATTTCATGATGCATTATAACAAGATGTCATTTCATAATGCATTTTTTACGACACCATGCAAATTTTCACCTAATGCCGCTACACACCATGAAACCCTAAGTGCACCATAGGGCGTGAAACAATCATTCTCGCACAGCCCCATAAATCCCCAAATTCTAACATAATAAATAAAAATTCGTTGAACCATACATTCAAGAATTTTTACATTTACATATATAACAAATCAAGTCAACATACCCGATGATGGTGCATCATCAACGCATCTCTGTGTTTTCATCACCATCGCACTACACTTTGTAGCAAGTTTTGTTAATCTCCCATGATTATCTTCTACCCCAACAAGATTGCCTTCCAATTTGAAGAAAATCGATCAAGGCAATGGTCAGTGTCCCGGAGGGTCGAATTTGACAAGAAGTACTCCGGAGTATTTGTCCACTTTTGATTTTTTTTATCAAATTAGTAAACTTTGACTCCAAATCAAACAAAATACTCCCTCTGTCCCCTAGTTTTTGTCCACTTTCATTTTTGCACATCATCCAATGCACTTCTTTAATCTATTTTATCTTGTAATTTGTATATAAAAAAATTATAGAAATTATATATTAATAATCTATATGTTAAGACAAATCAAACAAGATTACACATGACTATATTTAGGCTTACACATTGAGAGAATTTGATGAGTCAAAGTGCTTAGATGAACAGTTTCAAAAGTCAAAAGTGGACAAAAATTGGGGGACGGAGGGAGTAATATTATATATTCATACAGAAACAAAAGCTATCGAGAAAAGAGAGAAAGTAAAATTGTAATCAAATTTGGGACGTGGGGGTATAAAATATTTTTGAAATATTATTTTACCTAATTAATATGCAATATACATTTTATATAATTATATATCAAAGATTGAAACGATTTAATGAAAAAAAGTTAAAAATGTTGATCCATTCAATATCTTCCTCTTTAGTGCGTGTGAGTGGCTGATGTTGATCCATTCAATCATTAACTATTTTAACGCATCCTTACTTTACGAAAATGCCCCTCTTTGTTGACTTATCCCTTTTTGATCGCATATGGTCCTTATTTACTGCAAAACATATATGTGTAGTTTTCCAAGTCATTAAATAGCTCAGCCATTCGATGCACTTAATACAAGGGTTAAGATTCATTCTTAATTCTTTCATTGTTAGTCATTCTTACTAGAACCACACCCTATATATATATATATATATATATATATATATATATATATATATATATATATATATATATGGGATTGACTCTGGTGAGATGACACCTTGTGGTAAGATGACATGTTTCAGTCAGATGACGCTGGAGCTCACCACTGATCACTGCAAAGCTCACCACTGACCACTGCAAAACTCATCACTGTCCACTGCAAAGCTCACTATGATTTTCCAACACTTAACTTTTTTTTCAAAATTTGATGGTTAAATGCTTACAAAGCCCATCAACAAAGCTCACTGACTCTCATAGCAAAGCTCACTGAATTTGTGCACAAAGCTCACCACACTTTAATGTTTAAAATGATTTCGGGAAAAAAACAAAGGGTGGTGGTGCTGACTTCCAACCGCTGCAGACTACCGCCGTGGACCGGTTGTGCAATTTTATTAGCTTTTTTTTTAAAAAAAAGTGGTGAGCTTTGCATTGTTCCTTGGTGAGCTTTCCATTGAATGTTGGTGAGCTTTGCATTGACACTTGGTGAGCTTTACACTTTGACCGTACAAGACCAATGGCCAACCCCGGTGACCCCCACTGTTGCCGTGGACCGGTGGTAGAGCGGTGGTTGACTGGTGGTTGAGTGGTGATGCTATTTTTTAACTTTTTTTATTTCAAAAAAAAAGTGGTGAGCTTTGTATTGAGAGTTGGTGAGCTTTGCATTGGCAGTAGGTGAGCTTTGCATTGACAGTTGGTGAGCTTTCCATTAGCAATGTTGTGTGTTGTGTCATCTGATTGAATCATGTCATCTTACCATAAGGTGTCATCTCACTGGAGTCACTATATATATATATATATATGACTTAAAAATAAAAATTACATATTTAAAAACTATATGAAAAGAACTACAAAACTAGAGGTGACATAGTAAATATCTCAAAAGAGTCAGCATCTGGGATTATCACAATAGAAATGATGACTGTTTCTATCGGAAGAAGCTTATACAAGTTAGAGACAAATTTAGGGAGATGAGGAACATCGGAAACTACTCCCCCGATAAAGGCTATCAATGGTTGCTAGGTCAAAAACAAAGTGTGGAATGGAGGGACTTAGTTTGGAACAAACTCTCAATACCCAAACATAAATTCATCATGTGGCTCCTGTGTAAGAACAGACTTCAAACTAAAGTCAGGTTGTCCAAGATGTTTGATATTGACACAACATGTCCCTTATGCAAAGCTGCCCCAGAAGATGCCCATCATTTGTTCTGTAAATGTTCCTTTACTGAAGAAACATACAACAAACTGCATAATTGGTGCCTTTACAGTTTCAAAAGTAATAATCTGAATGAGCTGTTTGGAGGAGTTAAAAAGGCTCAACCAGGAAAGAAAAGACGAAAACTATACTCTATCCTAGCAGCAACAATCTACTTTGTTTGGAAAGCTCGTAATCGAGTGGTGCACCAAGGCTTGCATATGTCCAGTGAGGAAATTATTCAGCAAATTAAGTTCCATGTAGATACCTATATGAGATCAAGAGTAGGAGTAAAATAGGAGTATTTTCAGTTAATTGTGTTGGGTGCTATAATTGATTGTACCTTTGTATTTTGGTATGCTTTGTTGATAATATATATTTGCATTTCTGTTCGAAAAAAAACTAGAGGTGACATGACTATATTATTTTATCAAATATGACACGAAAATAGGCCAATAAAGTGAATGGAATTTGACCCTATGAATAGTGTACAACAACTTTATTATTGGACAGAGGGAGTATATAGGGCTTTTGTAATGTCATACTACTTCAAGTGGTGTAACATCATGACATCAGTCAAATTGGGACACCTACGGTGCTCCGTTCGTAAAATTGATGATTCCTACTCCCTAACCCACCTGCTACCCATCAATTTCACCCCACCCCAACCCCCTGCACCCCCCATATCTGTGTGTGTGTCAAGATGATTCTAGAGTCAATAGCTCCGATTGACACAATGCAGTTTCATTGCCACCTTTTTGGGACAATTTTACCTCAAAGTCTATTAAATTTGGAGGTAAAATTGATGGGTTGGGTTTGAGTTGGACCGGGGTGAGGGGGTTACCCGGGAGGTTAGGAGGTAAGAAGCATCAATTTTGTAAACAAAATACTTTAAGTGCCCAATTGGAATCAATGCCATCCAGAGCCACTCAAAGTGAGTGATTCTAGAACCCCTCCGTATATCTCTTTGTGTGGGTGCGCGTGTGTGCATGTGTGTACTTTTATACATCTAAATTATCATAACATTATATACTCATATCAAATCAAAAATTGAGGCTGAAAGGGAATTAACAAAAGTAACAAGGCTCCTCAGCACCCAAGGAGAGCTACATTTTGAAGTGATCTCTAAAATAATGTACATGTTCTGTGCTCTAATCATTTGTTGTGAAGGTGGTAACATGGGAAGAAGCTCCGGACAGCAGAGTTGAATTATCAGACTCAGAAGATAATATATAATCATACACAGCTTTAACGCTTGCAAGATTAGTTTTGGGAGGATTTTTAATCTTGAGATCCATGAAATCAGTTATTAACCCAGGCTTTGTAATATTATCCTTCTCGACCTCCATTTCCCCTGTTAACATCTTGACAACACGGGACATTGAAGGCCGAAGCTTCGGGTTATCTTGAGTGCAGAGAAGTCCGATTTCTAAGAATCTACAGGCTTGTTCGGCATCAAACTGCCCATCAAGGGATGAATCTATGAGTAGTACAAGCTCTTCTCTTTCATAAAGTCGCCATACCTACAATCAAGTTAGCTAGTTAAAATGGTCAATGGATCGACCTAAAGTGTCTCTGCAAATGAAATAAGGCTAATATCAAAGTGAAAAGGTTCACCCTTCACTTGCATTAGCGTTTTTCATTAAGAAGTAATTTTGAAAAATCATGGAGCTATAAGTCAGGGTGCAATGGCATAACTTGCAACTAAATTGGGATGTTAGTTTAGATATGAAAATGCGAGGCATTTATTGAAGTGAGATAGATGCCATACCTTTTCAAGGAGATGTTGTTCTTCAATGGGTAATCTTGTGTTTGTGTTGCATCTCCCACAGATAATTTCAATGAGAAGAACACCAAAACTATATATATCTGCTTTACGTGTCAACTGGCCCCTTATTGCATATTCTGGTGCCAAATAACCTCTGGAGCACGAAAATACAAAGGCAGGTTTAATATGTACGGAGTAAAAGATATGCCTCACGATTTGCATATCATCATTATTTATTAATGCGGTAAATTTCTATCGTAACGAATTTGTTTAGGAAGTTCTATACATGATAAAATGTCAAGGAGCAGATCTTGGTTCAAAACATGTTAAATACACCAATACTTACAAAGTGCCTGCAACACGTGTGCTGACATGAGTCTTATCTGGGGGAATGAGTTTTGCTAAGCCAAAATCAGAAATCTTGGGTGTCCAATCTTTGTCAAGGAGAATATTACTTGCTTTTATATCTCGGTGGACAATGTGTGGTCTCACTTGCTCATGAAGATACGTTAGTCCCAATGCTACCCCAATGCAAATTTTAGTCCGTGTTTTCCAGTCAAAGTGGACTCCGCTGCACCCTCCACCTGAATGCAGCATGTTTGTTAGCACCAAATTTCAAATCAAACTAAATGATGACGGAAGTGCATTTAATCCCCTGCTCTAAACTTTGTTCTAAAAGCCCGCATAGGAAGCAGGCAATAAGGGTCTGTTTGGTATGGAGCAAGGGGATGGATGGGGAAAATCAAAGGAGATGAAAGCAATGATTCTATTTTTGGTTTGAAAGAGGGGAGGGGAGATAATTACGGATTTAATACTATATCATTAAATATTAGTGCCAGGCTGTCAATCCAAAAACCCTCGAGGCACTCAAAATATTGTACGGGATCTGAATGAGCTGCTTAGTGACAGACATGAATGCAACCTCCCCCTACTTTTGAGTAGGAGTAAGGTCTGTGTGCACACATCTTCCCTAGAACCTACTCACGTGGCATTCAACTTAGTTGTTGTTGTTGTTGTTGCATTTAAGTTTAAATGTGCATATTACAAAGCTGTAATTTTTTATTTTAGTGCCAGCTTAAGACCCGGAGAAGGAACCCGTGCCTAGCAAAATTTGGAACATTGATTTCAACCACATCTACCCGTATATTTTTTGAGCTGGCTAATTGATTTAAGTAGAATTAACAGTGTGGAATTAGGCTCAACGCCTTAAGAATTAGGCTATTTTGGTGCTCTGGAGGCAGCTTCTTTTTTATTCTACAGAGTATATTTGATGTATATCCCCAAATCATGCAAGCAAGGTAGATAAAATCTATATGACCCACAAAACAGGATTGTGGAGTGTGCACTTTAATACCGAAATATTTTT